ACCTAGGACTCATGTTGTTCTTTAAGACTGCTTCCTTGGCCAGTCCTAATGGTTCACACCTGTAATCCCAGCCCTTTGAGAGGACCAGGCAGGAGAATCTCTTAAGACCCGGTGTTCAAGACCAGCCTGCTCAACATAGTAAGACCCCATATCTACAAAAAATAGCTGGGCATGGTGGCGCACGCCTACACTCCCAGCTGCTTGGGAGACCGAGGTGGGAGGATTGCTAGATTCCAGGAGTTCAAGGCTGCAGTGAGCTATGATCGTGCTACTGGACTCCAGCCTGGGCAACAGAGCGAGATCCTGTCTCAAACAAACAAAAACAACAAACAAAAAAAACTGTTTGATTCTTGCTGAAAAATTGAGCATGCAGGAGCTGGCAAGGCCCCTAGGAGTGGTCTGGTCCAATACTTTAATTTCATCCATCAAGAAACTGAAGCAGAGCGGAGTGACCTGCCCAGGGTCTCTCAGACATTCTGGCTTTGAAATGTGTGGGCTTCTGTGAAACATGTGGCTCCTAAAAGCACTGTCATCTATTTGAAGGCAGAAAGTAGGCTAACCCTTCAGCCTTCAGCCTTTTCTTCTCCAGAGAAAATGACCCCAGTTTCCTCAGCATCGTTGATGGGAGCTAGATTCTTGGGGGTCTAGCAGTGAGGACCACCTAGTGGTGGCTGGAAGGGCAAATAATATCCCACCTCCCACTTTCCACTCACCAGTCCCTGAGGGTCAGCCCGCTGCATTATGAGCCCGGAGGGGAGAAACCCAGCCAATTCAGGGATGCATCATGGACCAGTCTCTTTTAAGGAGGCTGGGTCTACTGTTATCGGTTCTGCTTGGAGAGAAGCTGCCTACAGTATCCTGCAGATTTCCCCTCCAGGGAGAAAAGCATAAATTATAGAAAATACACACACATCATTCTTTCCCGCAAATGGCAGCGTACTATGTGTACATGGTACCTCACCTAGCTTTTTTCACTTACCAGTGTGTCTTAGAGTTTGTCCCCTAACAGAATATATAGATCTGTCTGTTTTTGTTGTTTTTCCTGTTTCTAAGAGCTGGAAACCGTGTTCTTAAGCAGCTGTTTGTTGTCCCATTAATTAGATTTATTGTACTTTGATCTGTCCCTAGTGATGGACTTTGGGGTTGTTTCCCTTCATTTATGTTTCAGGCTTGCTGCAGTGACAGTGTACACACTTGCTGGAGTGTGTGTGTGTGTGTGTGTGTGTGTGTGTGTGTGTGTGTCTAGGATAAATCCCAATAAGCAATTTAATGTAATTTTATTCTTATGCTCTCAGCAAACCAAAGACATTACTTTTTAGAGGAAGCTGAGGCTGTTGTTTTGATGCCTTTTTAACCACTGGATTTTGGGCTCAACTGTTTGGTAGTCATTGCTTCCTTGACTCTTCTCCCATGCCAGGATTTGGCCCTTAAGCCCAGGGCCTGAGTCTCCTTCTTCTTTGAGGGAGAGTGGGAAGAGCACAGGCCTTGGCTCCAGTCATGTTCCCCCTGCTTCTAGCTGTGGACTGGGCTGGGTACTTCACCCAGCTGTGCCCACTGTGAGGCATGATGTGTGCAAAATGGAAATGTGACCATGAAGATCAACAATGTCCTTCGATGACCCATGCCATGCCTCAGGGTCACAGGGGAACTCATAGAAAGGGATATCTGTCCTGTTCCTTCCTGTGTGGTCCGGATGGCTCACAGCAGGGACCACGACATGCTGGGTGACCACCCACTGTGCCAGCACTGAGAGACTCCTGTGGGAGTCACAGCGATTCTAGGGTCTTCACTGGGGATTCTGAGACAGCAGGGACCCAGGATGAGGGCTGCAGAGTGTTCCTCTGCCCTCGCTGAGCAGACCCCTTGGATGGCAGGTTGCAGTCCCAAGCCAGATGGATGCCCATAACCAGCCATTTGGCTCTCAATAGATAATGTTACCAAGAGTTAGGCAAAGCCCTCCATCCAAGAGCATATCTGAATTTGCATCCCATCTGCAGAGGATGCATTGACCTGCTCCATCAAAGTCTTATGCAAATTTTCCCTGTTGAGAAGACAAGCCCCTTCCTGGCTTAGACTGTCCTGGCTGATCTTTCCATGAGCTCCCTGACAAGCCAGAACCAACCCCAGCTTATATGGAGACTTGGTGCAAATTAGAGAAGATGTCCCTGTGCAGGTGGCAGCCCCGAGCCCAGGCACCCAGTCAGGCAAACAGCCTGATTTGGGACCCTTCTGCCACTCAACCAGGCAGTCCGTTGCTGGAAAGTTCTAACTTTCCCTGCATTCACACATTCTTGTCCCACTCCTCCTCTTCCTCTCATCATAAATATCCCCACAGCCATTCAGCAGGGAGGTGAATTCAATATAGAACTTTTTTTTCAGATTTGCAGAAAAGATTAGATCAATAATGATGCAAGTAGAGCCATGAGCCTGACAGTAAAAGCTCAGTAAAGGGTGGCTTCCTTCCCCTCCCTCCAGAATAATCTGAAAAGAAAGCATGTCTCATTTCAGGGAAAAAAATATATAAAGTGACCTTTAAAGACCAAATTCCCAGGATACCCAGGTAGAGGTGAAACATAGGAGCCCACAGGCAGCCTCGATGATTCCAAAGATCCAAAGGGCTGCTTCTTCCTCATATAATGCAGGAAACAAACTAAACATGTATTAAGTGCTTGCTGTATGTGACACTGTGCCAGGCGCTACATTTAAAACAGCTCTGTGGGCAGGCACGAGGATTGATCCCGATCTTGCAGACAAGGACTGTTGGGCTCAGATGGTCCAAGCTCACCCATCACTTGGCCAGAGAGGACAGCTGCAGAATTCAATCTCGGGAGTGCCCGAGTCCGCTGAAGTTCCTGGGCTGAAGGACTGACCACAGGCACAAGGAGACGCAGGGCGGTTTTTATTGGATTTGGCTACCTCTTGAGTCAGCTTTGCCAGCTCTTTTCACTGGGGCAAGGGGAGGGAGGAAGTCGCTAGCTCCAGGTCTTTAACCTAGAACCACCTAGGACTTGCCTAGTTTTCCTCCTACAGCAGCGTGTCTGGGAAGATCATGCTCTGGGACAAGCTACAGGCAGGAGGTACCAATTCCTGTTTCCCCACATATCAGCTTGAGTTGTACGAAACTGATGTGGATGTGGCTCAAAAACAGCTGTGTACCAGCCACATCAGACCATTTGATTTAAATATTATTAGTTAATACCACAGCCAGATATTCTTCTCTGAGAAAAGGGCACTGCAGCCTGAAGCAGAGAAGGCGCACACTTGCCCTGGGGTTGAGAACTCTCCACGCCCTGTGACAGCTCGGGGGGTAAAGCCCTGGCCCACTTACCCTGGGAGAGTCTGGGTGAGATACAGGGCTTGAAGCAGAGGCTGGGAAGGGAGAAGTGACACCCTGGCTGGGTGGGCCCTGATCTTGGTGAGACACCCCTGGGTGAAACCATCATGGAAAGGGTGTAGTGGGGCGTGAAAACTCCCTCAGTTAAAACGTGAGCTTTGCTGTAAGTTGTGGTGAGGAGGGAGGCAATGGCACCCAGGAGGCCCGTTCTGAGCAGCCCCAGGGTTTCTGGGGGACCCATCTGTGGTGTCACAGGGAGGAGGAGCAGTGTGAAAGGGCTGCCTCCCAGCCGGCTCTGCAGGGAATGACCAGCAAGTCATGGCTGCGAAAAGGGGAGTGCAGTCTGTGCAGAAACGTCCTCTTTTTTGAATACTTGAGAGAAAGAGGAGATAAGAATAGTGGGGAAGACCAGACCACAATGAAGTATGAGGCTGGTAATGGTAGGGAAGTTCGTGACCGAGAGCCTAGCACAGCAGACTAACCGAGCCCCAGCCTCCATCTTGGATCAGGCAGCCCCTCTATGACCACAGAACCCTGAATGGTGCCAACCCCTCCTCCTCACTTAGAGTTGTAGGATGACCAGCAGTCCTGATTTGCCTGGGACTGGGGGGTTTCCAATAGGTGGGACTCTGAGGGCTGAAACCAGGAAAGTCCTGGGCAACCCAAACACAGTGTTCCTCTAGAGTGAATGACTCTGTCTGATACCTGCTAAGAAAGAGAAGGACTTGTTGGTTATAAGGAGAAGAGGAAGTGAAATGGTTCTCAAAAAACAAAGGTGAGGGCTTCTGGGTGCTGTCCTGCCCAGGGTTCTGGGTCTGATACTTCTTTCTCCAGGCCTAGCTTCATGGAGAAGTGAGGGGCCAGAGCGGGGGAAAGGTGGAAATAAAGGAAGAGGATGGAGAATTGCTTTGGGGAAGTTTGGGCTGGAAGTGTGAATTGCGGCTACACCCCTAATTCAGCCCATCTCACCGCTCCCCTCCTGCCCATAGTTCTCCCTTGCTCATCCACACCGTGGTCAAACTAGCTAGGTTTTGGAGAGACTTTGGACAGTCAAAGAAATATGGATCTGTCTCAAGCTTCAAAAAGCCTAGAGCTGGCCAGGCACGGTGGCTCACATCTGTAATCCCAGCACTTTGGGAGGCCAAAGCGGGTGGATTGCCTGGGGTCAGGAGTTCAAGACCAGCCTGGGAAACATGGTAAAACCCCGTCCCTACTAAAAATGCAAAAATCAGCCAGGCGTGGTGGCACAAGTCTGTAATCCCAGCTACTCAAGAGGCTGAGGCAGGAAAATTGCTTAAACCCCATGGGGCAGAGGTTGCAGTAAGCTGAGATCGCACCACTGCACTCCAGCCTTGGTGACACGGTGAGACTTCATTAAAAAAAAAAAAAAAAAAAAAAAGCCCAGAGCCAAATGCCCACAGAGCCATTTACTGCATGGCACTGGGCAAGTCAAAGGAGTTTCCTCTCCTGTCAAAGGAGTCTGTTGCTGTTTCATCCCAAGACTGCTGTGAGGATTAAACAAGATGGCAAGTGGGAAGTTGGGAAATGTAGTTTGCACCCAGCCTATATTTGTTTCTTCCTGCCTGTCTAACATATGGACCACACAGAATTCTAACTTCGTTTCCCTGAGAACTAACACAGTTACTTGCTTTTCTTTTTGATCCAGGCCCTCACCATGCCCACTGATTCCGTTCCAGAAGACTTTGAGTATGATGATTCTGCTGAAGCCTGTTATATTGGGAACGTCGTGGCCTTTGGGACTGTCTTCCTGTCCGTATTCTATTGCCTTGTCTTTGCCATCGGCCTGGTGGGAAATTTGTTGGTGGTGTTTGCCCTCACCAACAGCAAGAAGCCCAAGAGTGTCACCGACATTTACCTCCTGAATCTGGCCTTGTCTGATCTGCTGTTTGTAGCCACCTTGCCCTTCTGGACTCACTATGTGATAAGTGAACAGGGCCTCCACAATGCTTTGTGCAAACTCACTACTGCCTTCTTCTTCATCGGCTTTTTTGGAAGCATATTCTTCATCACAGTCATCAGCATTGATAGATACCTGGCCATCGTCCTGGCAGCTAACTCCATGAACAACCGGACCGTGCAGCAGGGTGTCACCATCAGCCTAGGCGTCTGGGCAGCAGCCATCTTGGTGGCAGCCCCTCAATTCATGTTCACAAAGGAGAAAGAAAACGAATGCCTTGGTGACTACCCCGAGGTCCTCCAGGAAATCTGGCCTGTGCTCCGCAACGTGGAAGCGAATCTTCTCGGCTTCCTGCTCCCCCTGCTCATTATGAGTTACTGCTACTTCAGAATCATCCAGACACTCTTTTCCTGCAAGAACCAAAAGAAAGCCAAAGCCATCAAACTGATCCTTCTGGTGGTCATCGTGTTTTTCCTCTTCTGGACACCCTACAACGTGATGGTTTTCCTGGAGACGCTTAAGCTCTACGACTTCTTTCCCAGTTGTGAGCTGAGGAAGGAGCTGAAGCTGGCCCTCAGTGTGTCCGAGACGGTTGCGTTTAGCCATTGTTGCCTGAATCCTCTCATCTATGCGTTTGCTGGGGAGAAGTTCAGAAGATACCTCTACCACCTGTATGGGAAATGCCTGGCCGTCCTGTGTGGACGCTCAGTCCACGTTGGTTTGTCCCCAGCTAGATCACAAAGGAGCAGGCAGGGGAGTGTTCTGAGCAGCAGTTTTACCTACCACACCAGTGACGGAGGTGTGTCCCTCCTCTGACGGGACTCACAAAGCCTTGTGTCTACAGAGAACCTCGAGTTCCTAAATCTGATGCTGGATAATGAAGAAAGATATTTGTTGTTGTTTCTTACAAGCACAAAATGATGGCCCCAATGCACACAAAACAACCCTAGAGTGTTTTTGAGAATCATGCTCAAAATGTGAATGTCTCTTACTGCAAATGTCAGGACTTTTTTATTTACAAATGAGAAAAATTCAACTCAGACTAGTTTAGTTAAAAGGGGGTGATGAATATTGTTCATATTGTGGCATAGGCAAAAGGGTGTCTGAGCTCTCAAAGTGAGGGGAAACCAGGGCCTGAACCCTTCCCTCATTTGAATCTTTTAGTCATTATAGATTCCCCAGACTTACATGACACAATTTTATCACCAGAGAGGGACGGACACCCATGCTTCTCTGGCTACAAAGGCAAAATTCCCAGGGAAGTGCTCTGATAGGCCAAGTTTGTATCAAGTGCTCATCCTGGAAGGTGCTGTTCTCCATGGGGAAGGGATATATAAGAGGGAAGCTTCCAGTTCAATCTCATGAATAGAGAAGCAGAAAGACATATTTCCAAGAAGTTGGGTGGGTGGATGCTATTCTGATTACACAGAACAAATGCCACACATCACCCTTACCATGTGCCTGGCCCAGTCTCTCCCCTGATCACACCAGCCTCCTCTTCATCAAGCCCTCCTCCATCATGTCCCCAACGTACAAGGGCTCCCCGCTGCCTACTGCATCAAGTCCAAACTCAAATGCTTGGCCTCTCATACCCCCACCATGGGTTCCCACCAACAGATTCCCCATTGCCTCCTCCTTCCCAAAGGACTCCACCCATCCTATCAGCCCGTCTCTTCCATACGACCTCATTCATCTCCATCTGCTCCCAGGACAGTAGGGGAAATAGAAAGAACTCTGACCCCAGATAAGAAGGGATGGATTCCAACCCCAACTCTGTCAGTGGCCCCCTGGGCAGCTTGAGGCCAATCAAGCTTCAGTTTCCTTGTCTGTAGAGGAAGGATAAGGTACCTTTTGCATAGAGATCACCCTTTCCAGCATGAGGAACTAGCTACCAACTCTCACAGGTCCAACGCTTTTGTCTGCTTCTTAGACCTCTGCTATCCCCACACCTGGCGCTGCTGCACCATGCCCAAGTGGTAATGCTGACGAAACTTGGAGGAGCGTCAGGTGCGGCTGCCTGACGTAGCCCAGACACAGAAGAGGTCAGTTCTTACAATGGCACCCAGTGAGCACTCCCAAGCCTACCAAGTGATAGCCTTCCTTAAGCGACTCTCCTGGACTGTCTTGAATATTCTCTCCCAATCACCTGTGGCAGACCCCTGCCCCTCTGGAAAAATATCCTGTCATTCATGCCACTGCCAACCTGGGGAGCCAGGGCCACGGGAACAGCTTTTTTTTTTTCTTCCTAGAAAGGTTTGGGACAATCTAAAACTTTAAAGTTTGAAAAACTACTGTGATCATGCTAAAGAAAATGTCATCTTGTCCTTCCTGCATTTATTCATCCAGACCCTGTTCACACTCTTACATGTTTAGAGTTGCAATCATAATGTACAGATGGTTTTATAATCTCATTTTTTTCCTCTTAACATTAGACCACAAATAGTGCTCAGTTTCTGTGTAGTTTGGTAATTATTTTAGAAGACTCTACCGGACTGTGCACTCACTGAAGGCAGATGTGGTATCTGATAAATTGCTGTACATCCGATAGCTCTTTGGCAGTCTATATGTTTGTATAATGAATGAGAGAACAAGTCATGTTTCTTCAAGGTCATGTACCACAATTTACTTACCCTGACTCTGCTGATAAACATTTAACTTTTTTCCAATGTTTAGCAAATACATATTTTATAGAAGTTCCATCTGTGTAACTTTCTTTCTCCTGTTCAATTATTTCCTGTGGATAAATTCATTGCCATGGGGATAACTGAGCCAAAGGACATGGGAACATGCTAGCTTTTGATACACACATATGAAAATCATGTATTACAGAACCTTTACTGAGTTGCATTATATATGAAATGTGAACACAGACGAGGCTATTCCAAAGACAATGAGGCCAAGCCTCTTCCCTCAATAGCTTAACATTTAAATGCAGAAGAGAAGAGAAGGAATAATCACGCTTCGCGTTAGTAGCACAGGAGTGCTACGTGACTTCTGACCTGAGTCTTCAGGGGAAAGGAGTTCTCCAGGTAATGGCATTCCAGCCTGAGAGGGCAGCACGTGTAAAGGAAGTGTGTGAGAGCATGAGGAGCTCACAATGCGAGAAGACTTTGTGCGGATATTAAAAGGCATTGGAAGTGGAGTGGGTGGTAGAAACCTTCTGAGCTGAGCTGTTAGGTGTGGGCTGAGCTAACACATCCAACGGAGGGGGCGCTGGTTCTCCTCAGGGTGTTCACGAGTTTCCTCATTATTATCTGATCCTCATTCCAACTGTTGAACCATGAGACTCTAATTAAAGTTTAACCTATTTCTGGACTTTCAATACAGAGGAAATATTTATTTTGGCTTGATAAGTAAGAGAAACAAACACCTTCATTTCTAGAAGAAAATTAACTTTGTCTCATTAGAAACCTATATTTATTTATTCATTCATTTTGCTGAATAGGACAGAATAGGGAGAAAATAAGGAAGCTCATATTGAAAACCCCAAAATAGCAAGGATGTTGGTGTCTAAACAAAAGAAGGCATTTTGGAAAGGAGAGTCGGCCCTCAGAGCACACCTGAATCAGATCCACTCCTGCTTCTGAGCTCTGGGCCTCCCAAGAGCAGAGGAATCTGGGATGAATCCCGACATATTAACTCTCTGCTTTGGGCAGGTTACTTAACATCTCTGAGACTCAGTCTCCTCATCAGAAAAATTAAGATAAAAGTAGTTCCCACCTGCTAGGGTTGGTGCAGAGGATTCAGTAAGATTACTCCTGCAAAGATCACAGTGCAGACCTGGTGAAGCAAGCTCAAATTCACGGTGGCGATTATTTTTATACTTGTTATTTTTGTTAGACTGAGCTTCTCCCAGCAACTCCATGCATACTGTCCTGTCCTCTCTTGCCTTTTACTTTTCTTAGTAGCAGACTCGCAGACTCGGATGACTGGAGATAACTGGGTCCAAATCCATACTTTGTGGGTTAGAAAACAGAGGCCCAGAGAGGGTCAGGAGGTGGCCCAAGGTGCCACCTTGGGCAGAGAGATGCAGATCCTTGATTCACAGTCTACCATCTCCTTTCTCATGTTGATAAAAATACAGAGCAATCGGGCCTCTAAGAGCAGAGAGCACAGAAGGAAGGTCTGCAGGCAGAGAATGAGGCAGGGAAGAGCAGCCCGCAAGGTGGCTGCAGAGTTTAACAGAATCAATCTGCATGTGGACAGATAATTCCACTCACTTCATGCTTATTCTGTGCTCATTTAGTGACATTCTAAGGGAGTGTCTCCTTCCCAGGGACCTTGCCATCAAGAAAGCTGGAGCATATATGCCTTCAGTTACTAAGAAGAACTATCAACCCTTGTAATCCACTGCACCTAGAGTGTGTACAGGGTCTCATGGTCTTTCCGTTCACCTCTCTCTGAGATGCTGTCTCTGAGCATCCAGGGAGAGAGTTCACCTCTGGCCACCAAGTCCAATAACGACAGATGGGAGCATAGCAGCCTGACGGAGAGGTCCACCTTGGGTAGCACCTGGGCCCAAGATGATGCCCATGTGTGCCTTCAAAATTGGAGCATTTGTCCTGTCTCCATAGCTAATATTTTCCCCACCTGCACCGAACTCACTGGCCCAGGGGGGCCACTTCAGATTCCACATGACTTGTCATATTGTTTGCCTAACTTGCTGAGTTGGCAACAAAATCTGGGGCCACTTAAGAGTAGTGTGATCTGACAGCAAGTGAGAAAAGTGGATCTTAGCGAATTTAGAAATATCCAGTTTCTCTTCAACACACTCAGCATCCACGGGAGGGCCAAGGGCCAGGTCATTTTCTGAGGGATGTGTGGTGTGATGTTTCTATTTCTGTTCTATTACAGCACGTTGTTAGGCAACAGTGAGAGCTCCTCCAGACACACCCAGCAGCGCTGGCAACCGCAGAACATGCTCAGCAGGAAAATTACTCTTTTACTCCAGATTTTCCTATTTACTGAGATAGATACAAACATGTCATTTAGTCTGTATTTCTTTGCATACTAGGTAAGATTGTTCGGTTTTCAAGGTGCGTGTTTTAAATTATTTGTATCTTTTTCCGATTCTAAAAGAAAGATACTCATTATGGAAAATATGAAAAATATACCATTTAAAACTAAAATTTTTTATTTACACAATATTCAACCTCCCAGAGATAACTGTGGTTTAACAGTGAGGTTATTTTCTTCCATGCCCATAATATTTTTTAAAAAATATTTAAGAATAGACATTTCTCAAACGAGGACATAAAAATGGCCAGCAGGTAAACGGAAAAATGCTCAACATTTCTAATTATTAGGAAATTAAAGTCATGATGAGCTACATCTCACATTTGTCAGAATGACTTTTATCAAAAAGACAAAAGATAATAAATGTCAGCAAGAATGTGGCTAAAAGGGAGCGCTTGAGTACTGTTGGTAGAAATACGAATTAATACAACCATTATGGACAAAAGTTTAGAGGTGTCTCAAAAACTAAAAATAGAATTACTAGATGATCCAACAATACCACTTCTGAGTATTTACCCAAAAGATGTGGAATCTGTTTGTTAAAGAGATGCCTGCACCCCCATGTTCACTGCAGCACTATTTGTAATAGCCAAGTTTTAGTATCAACCTAAGTGTCCATCAACAGAGGAGTGAAGAAGGGAAATGTAGTATATATGCACAATAGAATACTATTCAGCCTTTAAAAAGAAGGAAACTCTGCTATTTGCCACAACATGGATGGAATTGGAGAACAGGATGCTAAATGAAATAAGACAGGCACAGAAAGGCAAATACTGCCTGTTCTTACTTATATGTGGAATCTGAAACAATCAAACTCATAGGAGCAGAGAGTGGAATGGTGGTTACAGACGCTTGGAGGTGGGGAGAGAAGAGAAAGCTGATGGTCAGAGGGCACAAAATTTCAGTTAGACAGAAGGAATATGTTGCTTTTTTTGTTTTTGGAGTTTTATTACACAGTGTGGCGAATCTAGTTAATAATAGAGTATTGCACATTTCAAAATTGCTAAGAGAGGAAATTTCAAATGGTCTCACCACAAAATATATTAAATATTTGAGATGATGAATATGTTAACTAACTTGATTTAATTATTTCACATTGTATTCATAAATTGAAATGATGCTTTTTACTCCATAATTCTATACAATCATAAATTGTCCATTTACAATTTTAAAAACTGAACAAAACCTCAAGGCACTTGAATTTCATCAATAAGGAAATGGTTCTGTAAACTTCAGTTCAGCCATAAAATAAAATATTGTATAATTTAAAAGAATTAGTCCATTCTATAAATATGAGCCTAAAGCTATGTCCATAATATATTCTTAAAAAGACAAATTTCAGAGTTAAACATATAACATAAGCACATTTTTATTTTTAAAAGATTTGAGATCAGAACATACACACAGCTTTATATCTTCTTTCTCCAATTAGCATTATAGTATGATCATTTTCTCATCTGTTATACTCAAACATGATTCTGAGTGATTGCATAGGACTCAATAATAGACTTTATCCATCCAAGCCCTACTGACAGGCATGGGTGCTACTCCCACTTTTTCACTTTGAGTAATGGCACTATGATGAACATAAGTCTTTGCACATATCTCTGATCCTATGAAAGGAATGAGTAGACGAATGGATTTGAGTATTTGTAAGTCTCTTGCTGGCTACTGGAAATTTCCTGTCCGGAGAGATGACACTGTGTTGCTGGCTGTCTAAGACTCCCAGTTCCTGGCTTTAGCACCACCTACCTTCCTGATCTTTGAAGTTAGGATATTGTTATTGGGTAACAAACCAGCCACTGACTGTAAGAGGCAGAAAGAAAAGACTTCTGTTCTTAAAAGGGCATGGCAAGGCTGAGAGGGAGAAGAAGAGGGATGAGGGTTTTTTTTTTTTAAAGGGACCAATAACATCATAAGACAGTTATTTTAAGGAAACAGAGAGACTACTTTGCACCCGGGCTAAGGGGACACAGAAGAGACCATCAGAGCCACGCAGCACCAGGTAAGAGCAAGACGTGGATACACTGGTGCTGGGGAGAGAGGGGCTTCCTAGCAGGGGAAGAAATGGAGGTGAGCAGAGCAACCAGAAAGCCCTGTGCAGTGTGAATGTTCAAAACATCTGCTTCTGTACAAAACATGAACAACTTGCTAAAGGCATCAGAGACACTCGGTTCCAGGTTTAGCACACTTGATTGGACTTCCAACGCATCCACCGTCACTTTGGATACACTTGCCCATAGCTCCCTCAGCATACTCTGGAGCTCACACCTATAAAATAAAAGAAAGAACGAAATCAAGCATTAGCAACTTTATTTAAATAAATTCTCTCTGGATTGCATTTCACAAATTATTTGTACTTTGTGTGGAAGTGAAATTTATTAAAAGTTCAAACCGTAGTGACTTTGTGGACAACCTATATCAGAGAAGTCTGTGAGTTCCAGCTCTAAGAACTCCTTGGCATGTCCAGGTGCCCTTGCTTTGGGGAGGAGGACGCCCAGCAGCTAGACTGGGAAGCCTCATACTAAAAGGCTCATTTACGCTTCCAGCTCTACTACATGAGTCTCCCTTTGAAAGCACATTATTAGGCCAGACACGGTGGCTCATGCCTGTAATCCCAGCACTTTGGGAGACCAAGGTGGGTGGATCACGAGGTCAAGAGATCAAGACCATCCTGGCCAAC